TATGACATGTACATGTATTGTACACATGTAACTTATCACTTACAATTCCTTGAATATTTTCTGGCAAAAAATATGAGCGTCAATTGATGATTGCACTCTTTATCCTAAAAAATATGAAAAGGTTAAAAGTTTATGCATTATATGCTAAAAATTTTCATCACAAATCAATACAGTACAACCAGTAGAAGTGCACACCAATATTACATTTTTATCCTTAGAGCAAAACTCATCAAATACAGTGATAAGAACATGTACATGTACAGCATAATAGAACAATGTTCATGTGCAATGAATGCGTCCATCAATAATTATACACACAAAACATGTACCTTCCAAACGGAGAAGAGATCCTTCAAAAAACCATCTACTGCTTTATCAAAGTAAGTATCACCTAAACACTCGTAATATGTACTAGGACAATGAGGATAGAGTAACTGACCATTGGGATCAAATTCCCATATCTCTGAACTGACTTGTATGAATAAAAAGAATTGCGATGAAGCCGATCTAAACACAATCTATAATATTTTTAAAAATAACATTAAATGAACCTTTACAGACATGCAAATGTACATGTACATGCAAGATAATAATCTCATGTTAATGTATTAAAATTTGCATAAAAATGTTGCGTATCACACAAATTAATGTACAAAAGTAACAGAGTATAATGTACATGCACATATACACACAAATATAATCATAATTATTATTGAAACTCTCACCCTGGTAGAGTCAGTCACCACTCCACTCTTGACAGTTTCCCCTTTAGCCCACAACCCACTGACTTTCAACAGCATACCAGCAAACAATAGCTTCCTTGATATATACATTCCTTTATCAATCTGAGAGCCAATGAGAATTAAGAGAATACATGTACATGTATGTACCAGTGAATTCGTAAACCTCCACATGTCACTTCTTGACAAACCTTGATCCTTAAAAATATTATAATCATACATGTACATAAAGGTGACAATAAATATTACACTTGCACACTGTACATGTAGCAACATTTACATGTAAATGCAATAAACATAAATATACATGTACTCCATGCTGATACTATACATGTACATATACTGTACACTGCTTGTTATCACACGTAGATAATTAAAACTTATTATTCGTTTAGGTTTCGGTATACCAATTTTTAAGAATGTATTGATTATATTAAATATAATAATAGCTAGATTTAAATTTATAAAGATACTGTATATATTCTCATCTATAATTTTTCAAATATTGAATCACTGTATCATTATGGTATTATTCAATCACACATGCTGTGTACATGTACATGCACTAAAAGTTCATACTCATAACTCACTTTAAATCTGAATTCAACCAAATCAAGTGCCACTTCATCTTTATCCACTCTCCTAATACAGACTTCCCTCAGCCCACTGAGATTGAAGGCATGAGCCACCTCTTGACTGATGCTAAGTGGACCACCTAATAATTAAAGGACACTTAATTTGGTCCAATTTTGAGCAACTTTTAAAATTTGTAAAAAACCAAATTTGATCGAAATCAGTTCAAACTTTCTACACAGCATAAGAACACATACATGTATATGTATCAGGAAAAATTATAAAAATATAGAATTCTCTACTTTTCATTTTTGATGAAATTTGGCCAAAATCACTGTACTATAGTACAGGGACTTTGATCCAATTTTTGAGCAACTTTACAAATTCGTAAAAAAAATCCAAATTCAATCGGAATCAGCTCAAACTTTCTACAGAGCATAAGAAC